TATCTAGTTCATATTGTTTACCCCTTGTGTTAGTTTTATATCCTTGCATATACATATATCATATTGTATATCTCTTTGATAGGATATATCATCTTGTGTTAGTTTATATATCCTTACATATATATATTCATCATATAGGATATATCTCATTGTTCATATTGCTTATCCTAGCTTATATAGTTGTTATATTTCATACTTGCTAGGATAACTTGTTAATTTATTTTTATTGGCATATAATCGGATTAGATTAGCATAAGACCCTAATCACTCCCCTCTAGGGTCTAACACTCGCTTATCTAAGTCAACAATCATAACCTGAACTAGATCTCTGGTCTACCTCCTAAATTCAGTCAACGCACACACACACACATGTCACTAAGTCTTGTTCATGACGCACAAAGCCACTAAGTCATGAACTACTAATGGTTCTCAATTACAACAAGAAAATAATAAATGCAACTGATCATGTATAATAATACCATGACATGTCAAATACATTAAAATAAGAATTAAAAAGCATGAACAATAACTATGAACAGTACGGTGTGTGTGTACAGCAGCAGTGAGCAGATCAGGATAATTCATTTTTCAAAATAAATTTCCTTTAAATTATTTATTATTATAATTATTCAAAACTAACCCCCTTTTTTTACCAAAAAATTTCTTTTAAATTATTTCTAATCTTTTAAAAACATAAATTTATTTATTTAAAATAACCCTTTTACAAAATAATTCCTCTTAATTTAACTCTCTCTAAAAATAATAATTCTAAACTACTCTTTAAAAATATTCGTTTTGATTATTTCTTTTCTATATGAACAGTAACCTTTCCTATTTTTGAAATTATTTCTTTTTATTTAATATCGTTCATCAAACAATCCTACCAAGAATATTACAATGTAAATATACAACAACATAAACGAAACACAGTCTAATATATGCATATACTTAATTAATTCATAACTAATCAAAAATTGTAGTGAATAACAATTAGGAAAACCGGATCTTGTCTCGGGTTTCTGTCGAATGAATCGACGCTGACGTGCGAGACTACAGCGAGTGTCAGTGTTGGGGGCACTGGCGTGGATTGTTGGCGGAGGCTCCAAGGGCGGCGGTTAGGGATTGAAGGCGGTGGAGGAAGAGAGGAGACGACGGTAGGGCTGATGGTGGCGGTTGTCGGGCTCGAGGAAGAAGAAGAAGGGGGAGGAGCGGGTGGCGGTGATGGCGGGTGTCAAGAAGAGGGAGGCGACGACGACGTCGCCTTCCACGACCTAACCAGGGTCTTATCATTTTCAGTGGCCATGACGAAAGTGAGAGAGAAGGAGAAGTTGAGAGATAGAGGGGGGGGGGGGAGAGAGAGAGAGAGAGAGAGAGAGAGAGAGAGAGAGAGATGAAGAGAGAGAGTGTGTGTGTGTGTGAGATGGTGAGCTGGAGAGAATAATTGAGAGAGATAGAGAGAGGGGGAATAATGTGATGAGGATGGTGAATGAATGAGGGATGAGCAGTGAGACAGGGGGAAGTGCAGAGATTGAGTAAAATGAGGAAGTGGGGTAGGGATTTGAGGTGAGTTGTCGGAATTGGAGCGAGGGAGAGAATATATGAGAGAGAAAACGATAGAAGAGAGGGAAATGGAGGTAATTAAGGGAATAATCAGGGGATAATTAGGGGAATAATTAGTGAGGGGATTAAGGAGAAAATTTGGGAGAAAAAATAAGGATAAAATCAGTGTAAAATATATAATAACAATAATAAGAATTTAAATATTAATTTAAAAAGTTTTTACTATAATAATTAAATTTATAATTAAAAAACTATATAAAAGCGGATTTTTAAATCATAGAAAATTCTAGAAAATTCTAGAAAATTAAGAAAATATCAACACTCTATTAAAAATAATAATTAAATATTTTAAAATATTAGAAAAATTATTTTAAACTAGTATTAAAAATTCATGGTCATTATACGGAGTTGGGTTCTCCGGTTGTTCCTCCGACGATTAAGTCAGTAATATGCTTGAGTGGAGAAGTAACCGAACTATAGAAGTTCTTAAGCACGGTGGGTAGAGATGAAGATCTTACCTTATTGTTAAAAATAGTGCCCCTATTTATAGTGGTAATAGAGGGGTAGGATGGTAACTTTAGCCGTGTATGGACTGGCGGCCAATTCAGCATCTACTTTATAGGTATCGGCTGACGAGTGGATCTTTAGCCGTGTATGGACTGGCGGCCAATTCAGCATCTACTTTATAGGTATCGGCTGACGAGTGGATGAGATGTCACTTTCGTGTTTAATGCGAAGTGACTCGAGGCGTACAGTGCCGACGTTATCCGATGTGTCATAAAGACTATTGGGGGTAGAGAAATGATGGCGCTTATTATGCATTTAATGCATTTATGGCGAGGTGATTGGTTGCCAGTACGCGAGAGGGGGCTCGAGGTTCGAGGTAGTCGTCACATTTCTATTCATTTGGTAGAAGGTCGAGAAGTACCGTCTTTTGAGTCGCCTTTGTGAGATATCGGTCGAGTAGAAGTCGCCTAGCCTGGAGTCGACATATAGCGCCTCTTGAGTCGTCCTCGCAAGCTATCGGCGTGTCGAGTCGCTTGAGTACTTGAAGAGCTGGCTCGATCATGCATAATTTGGGATACTCGTCGGCTATTAATTGAAGATTACTTTTTAGTATTAAAACGGCTATAACAATATGCATTTAACCCTTTTCTTAATGTACTTGTAGTTACCTTTGAGTGAGTGAGGGATGGAGGACTACAAGAAGGGTTGGGCATAGATAGCGTCGACCCTCAGGCTGACCCGACCCAGCCCGTCATGGATCACGACTCGGCCCGACCCACTGGCCCGATCCAACCTATGATATACACAGTCCCAGTCCTGGGATTAGAGAAACAGGCCCGGATCACGCCCGACTTGGCCCACGTCCCCACGTCCGACCCGCCCCAGCTCATGATATATTTTTTTTGTTGGACTAGTTATTCTTTTAGTCCTTTTGGGTTTGCAACTAGCAGGCCCTTTGGGTCTGAAACTAGCTGCTAACAAAGCTAAAAGTCATAGATATTTGGCTCATGGGCCTTTTGACCCACTGAGAAATAAAGCAGTGATCTTTAAACTCGTTGTTGTCTACCTAGATGGATAAAAAAGTTTAATACTAGTTTAAAAATAGTTTAATATGAGTTTAGATTACAAAAAAATAAATTAGAAATAATTTTATAATTGTAAATACAATCTTAATATAATTAAAAGGTAAAAAAGTAGAAAAAATTTGGATGAAAAGCCCATAGGCCGGCCCATGACCCAGATGCCACGTGCCCGGTTAGACCTGACCCCCACCTTGGCAAGTCATGAGCCGGGCTGGGTCCAGTCCTAGACTCGGGATCAGAGAAGTAGACTGGTCTTGAACCCGACGAGCTAGGCCACGGGCCTGAACCGGCCCGGCCCACGCCCAGCCCTAACTACAAGGGCTCTATCTGTGCTTGACCCTTTTCTTAGGGGTTCTTTATTTTTAATTTTTTTTTTGGAGGGGGTAGGGGAGGAGGGATTTTTGCGGCGTGTAGATACCTGTAGCTATCAGATTACTACAGTAATACATCAAAAAGAAGTTTTGTTTTTTTTTTTTTTTTTGGGGGGGGGCGGGGGGGCGCAAAGTGCGTCTAGTGAATTGTGATATTGATAAAAGCTAAGTTGATAGCCTCTTATTATTCCGAGCAAGAGGAGATGTTTTGAGAGTGTTTTACTATAACTGTCATGCTGAGGTGGACCAATCAATCATGTATTACTATAGCAATCCCATGACTTACATGAAAAAAGCCAAACGGACCCTTAATGTACTTGAATGTACCTTCGAGTGAGCAAGGGAGGAAGATTCATGTATTGTTTTCATGGAGTTATGAGTAACAATTTAACATTTGAACTTTAATAACCAATAACATATTGTTACAATCACATTTTTATAGGTTATCTCAATACATTCAAATTTATTCCTTAAATATTGATTTTCAAGTGGCATGGTTGAAGTTTTCTTTTTTAGTGGGAGGGACCAGACAGGAGAGTGTTCGCATCCAGAAAGAAGAGAGAGGAAGGGTTCTTTCCTTCTCCACTTAAATTGTAAAAAAAAATGAAGAGACCACTATATTTATCATAGTCGTTGATTTGTATAGTGAATGGTCATTATTCATTCTGTATCTAATACTCACCACACTCTTATGATATACTAGTGATCTCTCAATTATCTTTTTTTAAATATATTAGATTTTTTTTAAATATATTAGAGAGGATCTGAATCCTTTCAAATAAACCCTCACCACCCAAAACACCACCCACCCCAATTGTTTCCGATTAGGGTTTGTTTGGCTCATTTCTAGAAAACCTAAAAAGAGGAAATCAGTAATAAATAAATTAAAAAATCCAAAGAGGCTTCAAGCGATTTCCTTCCCAAAAGCTTTGAAATGGACTCCTTAGATTTGAGTCACATGAATCAATGAGAGGATGCCACGTCATTTTCTCTTGTGGTTTCAAAGTGTTTAAACGAACTAAAGCAAGAAAATTTTGTTGGAATAGAAATGATCATAAAATCTAAGCTTTTCCCATAAATTTTGGCAAACCGAACAGCCCCTTGACGTCACAGAAGGCACTTAACTTTATCTTTATATTTGTTGATATTAGTTCCTCTTCAAATCACCTCCACATTTTTGCCCAGCTTACAACTGTTTCCTCAGTTCAGGTAAATCATCTCCACCTTCAATTGTTTCTGATCAATAAGCCACTGAAGACACCCAACAGTAAGTCAGTAACATTTTCGAGTTGTGGCACACCAATACACAGAAATTGAATAGAGCCCCGTCATGCTGCAGTACATGCCTACACTTGTAAAAGCCACTGATCCACATTTAACGAAACACCGCAATATTATGGAAAGTTGAAGTCCAGATAGTATAAACTAGAATGCTATGCAACTCAACAAAGGTAGAATAAAAAAGAAACAATATAGTGGATAACGACGCAAACTAAAGACTGAGATATCTCATAAACAGAATTCATTACAGTTGTGATTGTATAAAATTATGAAGGAAAAAAAAAAGTCCACTAACTTACAATTTGATATGAACGCGACTTACAATCGGGTTAGCACTTCATGAATTTGCTATGACGAGTCAAAACTTTTCAGGCTCTCAGGCACTGCCTGATCACATTGTTCGAGTACCTTGATCAAAGGTTGAGCCAAAGAGGCATCTGATTTAGAAAAGAGACAATGCACTGCTCCAGCAATACAGTAGCGTGCCATGTTTTTGAGAATTGCAACGTAGACCTCAGTTGACGGGCATTCTAGAAAAATGACAATTTCAAATTCCTCAACATCCAATCCGACAATGCTATCCATATCCTTTAGTGACATGATTATAACCTTCTCCCTGGGGAAAAAAATTCAATCCAGATTAAGAAAGATAGGCGCTATGAAACTAACGAAGAAAGCATTTATTCAGTTAGTGAAAGACAATTGAAAGTAGTATGAGGAACTAATTCAACATCTACATACTAACCCATTTGTCATATGTAGACCATCAGTTAGCGGCTCAGTTGACGAGCCATAACCTTCGGCTTTAAGCTTAGATGCCAAGAGCTGCACATTGCTAGCACTGCCAGCTACAAGCAAAACCTTAAAATGCTGAGGGTGGTTTTGGTCAACAAACGCTTGACTAAGAATTTGTGAGGCCTGCAGTTTCAAGATCATACAGCTACCAATAAACATATACAGGATTTTCAATAACCAGAGAACTTCAAATTTAATGCAGTATTTCTTCTTATCTTGAAACTCTTAACTCCCATCTAAGAACTCATCAACTGAGCCTTTTTCTCATAAAAGAATGCAGTTGGCGGACTCCGAAGAAATCTTACAAGTCAGATATCAACAATAGCCAACCAAATTGAGATGGTGAGCAAAACATCATCCAAGGAGAATATGGGAATGTTGTTCATTGTCAGGGAAATAATGTTTGCCAAATGTGGATGGATTGGGAGGGGAGAGATTGAGTTCAAGTGAAACTTTCTCAATATTCCAATATCATCCTTAGAGAAAAAAAAAATATGTAGATGTATTTTTCCTTCAAAAAGGGTACATTAGTCATGTAGTTTCCCTCCCCTTCCATTTCTACTCTAAAACAAATGTAGATTGGAGTGTACCCTCTCATCCCCTTCTTGTCTATCCAGACGCAACTAATTCTATTTCATCCCTACCACTACCACCCCCTCCATTTCTACTCTAAAACAAATGTAGATTGGAGTGTACCCTCTCATCCCCTTCTTGTCTATCCAGACACAACTAATTCTATTTCATCCCTTCCACTACCACCCCCTCCCCTTGGGTATACTTGAATCATTCGCTGCCCTTACACATTAATAAATGTAGATTGTAATGGACGTAGATGTCGGTATAGCGTATCCAACACAGGAACCTTAGAAATACAAGGACGCAACTATATCTCAGAAATGTGCATGTGGATATGTATCTAGATATGTCTATAGCAAGTAAGCAACAGATATTTTGTCAGTTTAAATAAATAACTTTGTGTTTGTTAATGTCTACAGAGAAGACGAGTGCTGTCACAAGCAACTGCATTCATCTCTGAGCAGTGCCAGAGTCAGAAATTTTGTTTGGATTACGTGTGGGGGCAGGTGGTTGATGATAAAATGGTTGTAGTGTTTGATTTGGCACTAAACTTTAGTTGAAAGATCTAAATTTTCCATATATTACATCCATAAATTCAAGCACCTGCTGTGCATTGGTGTAGCGATTAGAATTTCTTCTTACCTGACAAAATATTCTAGTTGTGATGTTGTCATAAACATTCCTGGTCTCCAAAAGGCAGATTATTAGATTTTGTTTTTCATGCAATTTTTCAGATAGATTATAGTTTACGATTGTAGTTGAGTTCTCATCATGGCTGATTACTAAAAGCAATTTAACTACATTATGTAAAAACATAAGTTTAGTTCCAATGAACATGTATTTATTTAAAACAAATTAGAAGGGTTTAACTTCAAGTTAGGCCTTAGGACTAGCGCGCATATTTTGCAGGCTCAATGTTTCTTTGTTTCTGTTTCTTTCTTGTAACTCAATAAAGCACTCCAAACCTGTACATTGAATCCAGAATAGGGTATTTTACATGGAAACTAGTTTTTTTTTTTTTTTTGTAATACAATGTGTTGCATGGTAATTGGTATTAATATATTTTCCAGGGAAGCTAGAGTTTTCTATTGGGCTATTTCAGATGACATTATGTTGTCAGGTCCCGTACAGGTATTATTCCAAACGTCTGGATTAAACTTTTACACTTAAACGTTCAGAAACAATAGTGAGTACACTGTACCTAAGAGGATCTAACCGCGTTGGTAAGCTGTCTATGAGTAGTACTCTAATGTCTTAGGTTTGACTCTCCTAGGAAGCACCCACAAGAATTTAGTTTCCTGGAATACCCGAAGCCGGGTGTTGGGGGTGCCCCTAAGCCACGCTCGGGTGTTTGAAGTTTGATACCCGTGGTCCGAAGGATCACGGGAAGTTGCCTCATCAAACCGGAAAAAAAGAAAGTGAGTACACTGTGCTGATTGCAAGTCCAAGTTACTTCTCCACCTTTTGTGCATAATTGAGGATCCATGAAAACGAATATTTGCCAGAGATAAGATATTGAATCAAATAAGATACTTAATCAAATCTTTATTGCCAGAGATAAGGTGAGGTTGTAATAGTAACATCGCAATCTGACCAATCTTAAATGATTTTTAAAGGGCAATGACCATTACATAGCTTTCCTCCTGAATTTTTGGGACTAGCCACATGAAATCTTATTTTATATTGCGTTTCTGTTAAGGGAACGAGAAATTACTAAGTTAACCACTATTATATCCTTCTTAATTGCTTCAACCAAGTTCTCTTATGCATAACTATCATCCTCCTTGCTTCATTAATCATACATAATCTTATCACTTGTCCTAAATGATGCATTCCGTGTCCTCCATGCATGTGACCAAACCATGTCCTCAGTATAAGAAACCTCTAGCTTCTTATGAATGTACTTATTTCCTATCCTAACTTTTAATGCATATCCACACGTTGCAGTCAATTTTTGCACTAGTTTCTTAATTGCAATATTTTGATCCATAAAATATTGTTAGTCTTATAGCTGTGTCAGACTTTTACTTTCAATTCCATAGATATTTCTATGATTCACATGACTGCAAAAGCATTCAACCATTCTAATTTCCTTAGTAGTTACTAATATATCTTAAAAATCTTTTGAAACACATATATACCTACTAAACAATGTTTCACATGACTGCAAAAGCATTCAACCATTCTAATTTCCTTGCTAGTTACTAATATATCTTAAAAATCTTTTGAAACACATATATACCTACTAGACAATGTTTTTCTTCAACGCACTAAATGGTCTTAATGAGGACCATATTGAAATCTTTTATTAAAGAAATGAAATACACATGTAAACTACCATCTCTTTTTCTTTTATATATCTTCAAAAAGTTTAGGAAGGCACTTGCAATCGTTTTTAAGGAGGGTTCTGCACGCAATAAAGAAAATCTTGAATGACAGCGAAGACAAATTTTTTGTTCCGGTCCAAGCAGTGCATGGTAGATTAGAAGGTTTTGATTCAACTTTTGTTTTTGGCGTGTTATGTGAACGCTTATGTTCATATCTATATGAAAATGCATGCATATATTTATGTATGTAACTTTACTATCTCTTATGTGTTTTTATCTTGCACATTATAAGTGTATGTAAAGATGGTTGACATCTTGATTTCCATATTCATTGTTACCATTAAAAAAACTTCACCAATTCAACATTTTGTGGATACTGGTATGTCAGCAGAGAAATAAGAATAGTAAAAGATATGAAGAGACCAGTAACAAAAAGTGACAGCAACAAAAGACAAAGTACCTTTGACATCTTTTCATCTTCTGACGAACAAACATGTAAATGTTGTGATACGAATGCGCTTTTACAAACTGCAGAGTCATCAAGGGATAATCTACAAACTGGTCCATTCAGGAGCTGCTGCAATAGTGATTTCGAAGTTCCTTTGCAGAAGTCACTAAAAACTACCATCTGAGGTTCTCGAGATATACTCTCCTTGATTAATTTCACCTTATCAGAAAATCCAAATTCTACCAAGCTTTTCAGGCCATCAAGAACCTGTAGTAAAAGAGATGCATTATCAGCTAACTTTGAAAAAAACATAGGAACTCTTATAACTTAGAGCTCAAATTCATGAGGCTTAATGGAATTGAAAGCTGATCACAGAAATTCAACATGGCACTTGTATGGAAGAGAAGTTGAAATTCATCACCGCAAGCAAAAGTTTGCTAAATGAACATCCTGCAGTGTTATTCTATAGAAAAAGGGAAAAGGTTATATAACTGACTGAACTGTGATAAGCTACATAAGTCAGAAATTTGCAGAAATTAGGTTATATAATTGACGGAATTCTGATAAGTTACATATGTCAGAAATTTGCAGAAAATTTATTGTATACCTCAACTTCCATATGATATGCATAATATGTTCAGTTTCTAAACCATGCAGTCCTTGTCTCAGTCTCTGAACTGTATCATATTTCTAACAATCACATGGACGCTGGTGACAAGTGTTTGTGCATCCTTGTCCATATGACACAAGAACCTTCAGAAAACCCCACATGATCAACATCTACATTTTTTACAGTTCTACATGTCAATGACTCAATATATGTACCTATGTGCCTCAAGAATAGCCAATTTTAGCAACTGAACCATAGTCCAATAGTATATATATGTTACCTTTCTTCTTATGTAATATACGGTTGACATTTTGCATATAAAACCCTCCAATTATGCAGTGTAGTCATTGGAATGTCAGGACCCAGGAAGTGTTCTTGGCTACCCAATGTTCACAGTCATTCCAGGCAACACTGGATGCTACAGTACTTACATCTTCAGCAATATAGAGGAGAAAAAAGAAAAGAAAAAAAAGGAAATCGACAGCTGGTCTTTAATTGGCAGTCCATCTTGATTTATTAGATATAAAGGACTCCAGATATGTGTAGTTGGCTTCAAGTCATTGCCTCAGCTGCCTACAGTCATACATGCAGCAAGCTGAAAATAGACAGCTGTCTTGTGTAGATTTAGGGGAGAAAAACTCAAGTCGATGACATGTGCATCTCTTGTCAACAAGCATTCATCGGATACATGAATTGAATTTTATACGACATAAACTAGTGCAACCACAATCAGCCTGGGCATAAAAATCAAGCATGAACTGAAAATACCACAACATTCTAAAACAGAACCAATTATAATTGAAACTCCATATCATGATTTCATTTTTACCATATGCATGAATTGGATAAAAGGCTATTTTTTCGTGTCTACTTTTATGCTTGTTCTCTGTCAGTAAATCGTGCCATGCCATGTTTTTTCACAACAATAAATCATAATTGTATGGGACTGAATCTCATTCACCTCTTGCATCCCAAAAGTCTTAGGCTATATTGTGGACAAATTCATTAATCAAGAGGCTTAAATGAGTTATATATGCCAAAAGTAAAGAAAAGAATTCAAAAGACTTCAGGCATTTAGTCAAAGGAGGGCAACTAATAAAATCTATCTGCGCTACATGAGCGCCTGAAGTTGATATCAGACGACAATTTATTACCAATAGTGAAGCACTAGATACGTCAATGGCCTTCAGTTGAACAAGCTCAAGCAGCCTATCTGGAGTCGATACAAGGAATTCAGGTTCACAACTCTTTAATCTGCACAAAAAGAAGCATGCTACAGGTTAAGAGTCAGAAGCTCATAAAAATGGAAGTGATACATTCTTACATACTCCAACACAAACTATTTTTCTCCATCCAACTATTAAATTAAAAACTACCATATCATTTTTGCAGTCAAAATCCCAATCCTCAATATTCTATCAACCAAGACCTGATCTTTCCACCTAACTAGTCCATCTAATAGTCTCATTTTCACTTCAATTTTTCTCATCTTATCCTTCATAAAAGATGCAGCCATTCCACGTTGATTTCTTTCCATTCATCCAGGTAATCATTCTTAATTAGCTACAAACACATTTCGTCAACATGTTTAGTAACATGCTATGAAGCACGGACACGGACACGGCGACACGGACACGACACGGACACGGACACGGATACGGCAAAACCCCAAAAAATAGGATACGGCGACACGGCTAGATTTTTTAATTTTCACTACTTTCATCTTGAGCATATAAAATACAAGAGAATAAAGTTCAATTTGCAACTAGTTCAATGACTACAAAATACTAAGTTACTAACATTGCAAAAATATAAAAATTACACTCAAAAGCATATCTTAAAATAAAGTTTTCAAGTTGAAACATCAAAAAGATCTTAAAATAAAGTTTTCAAGTTGAAACATCAAAAAGATTATTCTATGGATTCAACTCTTTCATCCTCATTAAACACAATGGCCTCCATCGTGGGCTCGTCAAGAGAAAGGGCAGCAACATCGTGGGCTCGTCAGAAAATCATACAGCAGCAGCAAAACAGTATAAAAAAGAATAATTAATAACAGTTAATACGGTAATAAAGCATCAAAATAGCAAATAAACAGAGATTATCATCCTAATTACCCAATTGCAGCAGAACAGAAAAAAAAAACAAGGTTTAAACCAACCATCAGCAGTTAACTATGAGAATACCAAACTAAACACCCCAAACAGTGAGGCATCCAACAGTGGGAAAAATGACAAAACAGTAAACAGTAAGAAACTCTTATAAAATTAAAAATAAACGTAGTGGGGGGCAGAGGTCTTTTGAAACTATTATAAAATTAAAAATAAACGTAGTGGAGGGCAGGGGCGTTTTGAATCTCGTGTGCGATTTTTTCGAGAGAGAGAGAGGGAGAACAGTGGATGGCGGGTTGAATGAGGCGTTCGTGGGGGGTTTTTTGTGAAAGGGGAAAGTTTGTGGGTTTTTTGTGGTGAGAGTGTGAAAGAGATAAATGAGGGAGAGAAAGAGATAAGAAAGAGAGAGAAAGAGAGAACCAGAGGGAAAGGGATGAGCGAGAGCGAGAGCGAGAGCGAGAGCGGAGTCGGAGAGAGGGGGGGAGAGAGAGAGAGAGAGAGAGGGACTGACCTTGGAGCTGACGACGACGACGACGACGAAGGAAGCTGACGATGACGACGACGACGAGGAGGAGGAGGAGACTAAGAGCTGGCGGCGCCTCTTCACTTCGCAAGAGCCCTTTCGACTTCAATCGGGTAAGTTTTCTCACGACTAGGTTAGGGTTTGGGTTTCTGTTTGAAATTGGGTTTCGGGTTTGGTTTCGGGTTTGGGTTTCAAAATCTGGTTTCGCCGTGTCGCCCTTAACTTCGCCGTGTCGCCCTCAACTTCGCCGTGTCGACTAGCGCTGACCGTGTCGACGCCGGTTGACGCCGTGTCCGACGCGGTGCGAACGCGTGTCGAACGCGCTGTCCGTCCCCGACAAGCGTCGGACACGGGGACGGGGGGGTTTTTCACGGAGTCGGTGCTTCTTAGGTAACATGGTGAGCAAGGTTATTGATAGCGGATAGCGTCGCATCTGCGTGCGTGAACTACCGCTAAGGCTATTTGGGGCTATTGCGGTAAAATAGCGGCAAATAACGCATAGTCAAATAGCAGTTAAATATAAAAATATATAAATATTCTTAGTAATAAGAAAAATTATAAAAAAAATCTAAAAATTCTGCAAATGCATATTTAATGCCTAAGCATGAAATATATGTGTAACTGAAGAGATGAACTTTTAGAAAATGAATAATTGAAACAGAAAGCATATATAGCATTTTCATTCACAAGCATTTTCATTAAGCATATAAACTATAAAATGAATATTTATGAGTTCGAGTTCAAAATCACGAGTCATAGCCTGCTATAAGTTACTACTATAGATAAAATTTTCAAGATCTTGGTCAGTCTATTGATCTACCATTGTCCCTGAGTGGAGTAGCCATAGGTCTTGGAGCTGCTGTCCTGCCCCAGGCTTAGTTCAATCTCATTCTAGTTATCCTGTATTAGAACCCTAATATTTCTTCTCCTATCTAATACCCAAGTTATGTACATTCCAGCCGATAGTGCTAACCTCCAAATGAGCTAGCTAGACTAGATTCATTTGTTTCATGTTATTAATTAAAATTGATTAATAATATATTATCTCAATCAGGAGGGTATCATGATAGTTAATTAAGTTGGAACATCCTCTGTTTATGTTGAAACGGAAAAGGGGACAATAAAAGGAAATGAGAACTTTTGGGTGGTCTTGAGTGAAAAAGGAAATACAGTTCATTTATGTTGCAAGTGTTTAGATAGCAAAACAAATTAAGTCTCAGGTGTGTGTAGATAGAAGGAGCAGGAGCTTGCAAAATTAGTAAATTAATTTTTTCTCTGTTGCGGGCCCAAGCCCAAGAGAGATAGCCACAGGAGGGAGAGACGAAAGTAGAGGCGACTTCGAAGACTGGAGGGGGAGGCGGTTTCAGAGACTGGAGACGGAGGCGAAGGGCAAAGACCGGAGGTGGAGGTGGAGGCGGAGATGAGAGGGAGGCGAAAGAGATAAGAAGAGGCGGCTAGGGCTTGGGTCGGGATTCAGAGGCGAGAGAGAGAGAGGGGTTATTATGCATTCGGGTCGGTTTCGGGCTCGGGTCGGGTTCGAGTAGAAAAATTAACAATAATAAATAGCCCTATTTAGCGGCTAAAAGCGCTTTTTAAGCGTTAAACAGCGCTTTTACTCGTTATTAGCCGTTTTTCGAATGAAAAGTGGTTTTCCCCGCCTTGACACCCCGCGAGCATGGTAAGCGGAGTGGTTCACCATCGCTTCCGTG